ACAAGGAGGTAATACCGCAGACTTGTAGTGAACTGCCCTGCTCAAGTACACTCCGCAAAAGCTGTGAAACAACGCAGTCTTGTTCATTTGCAGGGAGCACAACGATAAATAAAAGTGCTGCCAATCAAAACGGTGACGTCGGTGATACCACAGAAGTTGCAAATGAGTGTCCAGGAAGGTCAGCATTTGATAAACTGTTCACGGCACTTTCCTACGTGACGAGACTTATCTAGATTGAAAGAGAAAATGGGAGGGGAAGGGACCGCGGCAAAGTCTGTAGTGTCATCTCTCGCCTCCTTGCGAAGCAAAACATTATCGGGCAGCGAATAGTCCCAGAGTTCGCTCACCTAAAGTATTCTTGCACCGTGTCTTGAACATGTCGGGTGCATTGTTCGTTAACTTCAAGATCCACGTGACAATACCAATACCATATGATACGCTCTTCAGCCAAGTTATAATCCAAAGATAAAAGTGAACGACTCCGAACTGATCGGACATTTCGAGACCGATTCGGTTACTTTTTCAGCGAATACTGCTCGATTATCTCTGAAGCTCGCGTTTTTTTTTTTTTTTTTTTGCTGTGTCGCCCACTCCTATCTTCCTTTTTCACACCATTGTTGTTGCTGCGGTGTTTTCTCAACTGGGTCTGCAGACCATGCAAGTATACACTGGGTAAGGATCCAGTTCAGTGGTTAACATTTCCAGGCCTTGTTTGGATGTGCCAGGACTCTAATAATTGTCTTTTTGTGTGGCTACCCTCTGTGTCGATGACCCGGGCGTCATCGAAATTTTGCGGTGGTCCATCTTTTCGCTGTGTACAGCGAGAGTGTTTCGTGCGGCGTTGAGGTTATACGTACATCATTTCAATGTTGTCGTATCCTTTCAAGGAAGTTTTTTTTTTTTTGTCTCACCGATGTAGGTGGTGGGACAGTCTGTGCATGGAATTTCGTAGACCAGCCGGAGAACCTTTCTTTCATCAGTCGGTCTTTTGGTCGCGGCAAGAATCACCCGATCGTCAAGACGGGTTTGTGCGCCACATGAATGCCCTCTTTCCCCAGCACTCTGGACTTGCAGCAACTTTCCAGGGTTTTTCTTACGAGCATAAAAGTATTTCAAAAGGAACAATATGAGTTTAAAAAGAACAACCAACAGTTGAATGGGTTCATAACTGCCTCTCAGCCACTGAAACTGAAACAAAAAAAAAGAAGTGGAAGAAGAGCACTCGCCGCCCTGGCGCCAAGCTAAATCAAACAAAACAAAAGGACAAATTAGGGAATGGGAGCAGAACAACCCTTAATTATGAAGCCTTGCCTCGCGTATATCATACAACATATTTCCTTCCAACTTCTTGTCTATGAGTTTTTGGGCGAAAAGCGATATATTACGTCGAAAGGAAACGAGCGTGGCATATATAATTACAGCAACAGGGTCATATATATTCCACGGTTTTTGAGCACGTAAGTGCGGAGGTGAAATTTAACACAAAAAAAAACATCCGGAAGAACGTGGAGATACGGAAAGGGCCCGAAGATAGGCGCATCTAGAAAAAGCCATTTATTGAGTCTGTCTGAAAACTTTTGCTTGCCGCCACCGTAACTTCAGCCGGTTAATGTTGAATTATATCTCCCTGCTTCTCCGTTACTTCTCTTCAAGCTCGCGCTTAGTTTTCCTCTTTGCTTTCAGATCGCACCACTATAGCGCTCGTTCGTTCTTGAAAGTATGAAGATTTCCATGATGGTAACTGGAGTTACGGCTAAGGCATAAATTTCTAGCAGACTTGCCCACCACATTCACACTGCACAAACTGAAAAATTGAGATTCGTTCCTAATGATAAAAAATGTAAATCTTGTAAATAAACTGGTGTGTGTGTGTGTGTGTGTGTGTGTGTGTGTGTGTGTGTGTGTGTGTGTGTGTGTGTGTGTGCGTGCGTGCGTGCGCGCGTGCGTGCGCGCGTGCGTGTGTGTGTGTGTGTGTGCGTGTGTGTGTGTGTGTGTGTGTGTGTGTGTGTGTGTGTGTGTGTGTGTGTGTGTGTGTGTGTGTGTGTGTGTGTGTGTGTGAGAGAGAGAGAGAGAGAGAGAGAAAGGGGCAAGGGAGATAGTAGTTCACCAAGAGTGCTTCGCGCGATCAGCAGGTATAATCCACATAATACTCGTGAAAGAAACGACTCAGGTGACTCACCAATTCTTGGAAACGTGAGGAGCTTCTGTTGCAGTGCAGCCAACTAACTATTGTTGGATTACCAACTCGAAGTGTTTTAGTTGCTACGTCACTTATTCTTTACATATGATAAGTTGAGAGACTTTAGAAAAATTTAGTTTACCTGCTAAACCACCGAGAGAAATACCTTTGGGCACATTGAATTGTATCTGAGCAGCTTTTATTCCTGGAGGCTACTGCAGCAGTTTTAATAGAAAATCACTCAAGCGAATAAAGATCACAATGTGATTCCACCCGTGTGCCTGACGTGTTTCAAATCACTTGGCAATGACACCGGCAAAATGTATGGACAGGCCGATTGTAACCACAGTGATTCAAATGTAGGTGATCCTCATTTGGTATTGTTCTTTTTCTCGGACGCCATCTAAGATGAAGCAGCAGAACAAATGAAGCCCATAATTTAAAGTGAGATAGCCCTCCCGCTCTCCGCAACACATGAAACTCTGAAAGTTTACGTCAAGGGCCAGTTGGTATTGGCCGCGGATGGCGCCACCACTATAATGACGGTCATGTCCATAGACTCCAAGTATTCTACTTATTTCAGTCCCGTATGACTACAGAAAAAGCGTGACTGGAAAATGCATTTATAGTCAAGTTGAAAGCATTCAAACGTCGAGGCGTATTCTTTCAAAGAATATAAACTCAACTCTAGAAATAAATATATCTAGAATTACTCAGTTCTCTGTACAAAGGTGTCAGTCAGGTTTCTGTCTTTTAAAACATCTGTATGTGTTGTTTTGAACGTACGGGTGACACAGAGGGGAAAGAAATATTTCAGCTCGCTCAAGGAAGGAAAGAAAATGCAGGGATCTTAACCAGTCTAGGAGGACTGGTATGCTACCCTAAACAGTGTAAAAGGGTGGGGAGGTCCAAAGACGGAGAAAGAGAAGGAAGTCGCGCACAAAAAGTAACATTTCACAATCGTCAAGATACAATACCCTTATATTCGCCGGTACGTCTTTTGCCATCACGAAATTTAGCACCACCTTCGTTGCCTTCACCCGCGATGGCCTTTCACCTCGACATTCCAGAATGGTGTCTGCCATCATCCGTCTCTGGTTGATCCGAGCTAGAGCTGCTGGTGTTCTCTGCGCATTGTAGCGAGGACAGTCTCAGAAGGGGTGCGCTAATGTTTCCTCGCTACAACAATTGTCGCAAACACGGGTTGCCAACCATTTATATTCGAAAGAAGAATGACTTCATGAAAGATAACGCTGAATGATACCGAGCTGGTATGACCTGCTCAGTGCTGTTGTGGCTTCTTTCGAGATAAAATCATTTTACGCTCGGCTTCAGTCGAAGGGCGATTGTTACTGAAATCGACCACAGTGAATCAGCGATAGACACGCCAGCGGGAAAACCAATGAATTCGCTCGTACTGTGGTCACACTGTGCATCGTTCCTCTTGAATTCGCGAAGCTGAGTGCGTTGCAAGTAATTAAGCTGTTATTGACTCTTCATAACTCATCCAAAGAGCCCGTTTCGGCATGTAGGGGAGTGGCTTGGTCAAAACGCCATTCGCGAAGCGGACCGCCATCTGGACGTCACACGAAACTAAGTCGCCCGTCGGTACCCAAATGCTGTGTCATTCGTGGCAGCTGACTATGAGTTTGTGAAGCGATTTAGCCATTTTATGGACTACACCTCTGCTTTCATACGTAACTTTTAAGAACGCGTGTCCCTGTGGCATTATCGATTGTCTGTGTCCCCCTGCCACACCAATTATTTGAGCTATCACAAGGGGTTGCCGATGGTCTTCAGCGTTGATTGTCGAAAAGGGGGATGCGGCGCACTGTGCTTCCACTAAGTCGAAACCATTTCAAAGGCAATCATGGTGATTGAATGGCAGCGCACTGCATGAAAATTGCCTCTCTGTGACGTAGTGTCAGTTTTGAGCCCAGGAGCACTCAGCAAGGAACTGAATCGAACAACGAGCGCACAGACACACACACGAGAGTATATTTACAGAGGACGTAACTATGAACGAGTAACACTTAAAGTAGTAGAAACATGCAGTCTATAGCTGTACTCAATGTCTCTCTAAATTAAAAAAGTCTCGCCGTGTTTTGATGTGGCTTGCGGGTCGCCGGCGCCGATCGCTCGTGGGCTGTGCGCCGTCTGGCTCGTTGCCGTCCTCAACGTGCGTCGGATCACGCCGTGACACGGCCTTCTGCCGCAGCAGCAGCAGTCGGTAGCTGATTGGTAGCTCCGCAGCAGCTCTCCGCCCCCACGCTCGTCTCAGCAGCGCACCGGGGTCGCGCCAGTGACCCTGAACGGCAGCAGGAACATCAGGCCCGCAACAACCAAAACCCACAGCCACTCTGGATGGCAGCCAGCACCGCGGAACCTCGCTTGGTCCCTGGGCCAGTCGCCCAGCCATAGTACAGGCCTCGTTCACAGGATGTCCCGCTGTCCGGAATGGCAGCCAGAACAGCAGTGGATCGCCTGGTCCCTGGGCCAGTCGTTCAGTCGGAGTCCAGGAACGGTAGAGCGCCTAGATGCCGTTGTCTAGTTCCCCGGACCGGACGTCCAGCCGACAACTGACCCCTTGCACGCGCTGCCTCGAACCACCGCACGCACCACACGCACTCTTCGTTTTCCTCTTCGCCCCCGCATGGCGAACACTGAATTCTTTTTTTTTTCCGCCCCTCTGTATCATGACATTCTCTTATCCCCGAAAAAATTTGAAATTACTGTTCTGGTAAGACACAATTTAGTTTCTTGTTACTACCAATTCCTGTGAAGCCGGAATCAACTGCCTTATTTTTTCTACATTTTACAGGCTTATCGAAAGCTAGAACATCCTGCAGCACAAATGGAGTTTTTGCAAGCCAGCCCTGTGACTACCGGCAATCTGTGGTGAGATTTTGTTTCAAATCAAGTCAAATCATGTTTATTTTCATTCTACCATAGCTTATTTTCATTCTATCGTTTTCAATCTACCGTACGTGGGGCATTGACAAAAGTTTCAAGCGATTTGACTGGTTCTTTGTCCAGTTTATAAGAGATAGATGGATGGTAAAACTTTATTGAAGACCAACAAAGCGCTCTCTCGCACCAAAAATAAAAAAAAGATTTCAACACACGTGATGCAGCTCAATTAAATTGAATAGTAACGTTTTACAGCGATCAGTTACAGAGATGAATATGACAGAGTGTCACAGCACTCACAACATTAGGCACGGCTCTCATTACTTGTAGATAATCAAAACGTTACCATGAGCGTTTGCCAAAAAAAGCTTTTCATTTCCGATCCTACTGTTCTCACTCTCATTCTTCAAGCTTATGATTATGGTGGAATGAGCGAAACGCAAAAGGTACATGTTGAACTATGACACGTCCTGGTTTCTTAGTTTTTATGATTTGAGTGATTAGGTATACTCCATATTCCACAATTCAGACAACCACGCACTTAGACAACATAAACAGACCTCCCACAACTACTACCATGCCCTCAATGTTCTTAAATCTACGTAAGCTTAACTGTAGCAGCAGGGGAAAAAAAGCGCATTTTATTTAAACTGACAGACCGTACAGAATACAGTGCCTGTAAACTACTCCACTCTTTCCTAAAGCATCGGGACAGATAGCCTATTTTACACCAGGCTTGAACTACCACGCAAATACAACTCGCGACTCCGTGATTTCGTGTCCAGGCAACTATCCATTTGCCGCAGCTGCTTCCACAACAAGCACACTAACCTCCGGTCAAAAAGTGAAGCGTTTAAAACTCTCCAGAGTGACAGCACTCTTAACTCATGCTCTCTCTCTCTCTCTTCGTGTCATGTTCCACCAACGATATCTGGAAGCACTGGACCTTGATATATATATATATATATATATATATATATATATATATATATATATATATATATATATATATATATATATATATATATATATATATATGGATGGTCACGGGCCATCCTCAGGATTCGTTCATGCTTGCTGAAGCTGCTGCTGCAAACAAGAAGAGAGCTTATGCGTGACAGCATCACGGGACCACGACGGGTGAGGGGTAATCAACCCTCTCTCCCTCTTCACGTCACCATGTTTGCTCGGGCCCCCCAGGAGCGCGTCAGCGGTTGACTTCCGATCCGTTTCACATGTCTCGAGGAAAATATCGTTTTCACGAGTGGAACCAACGGAGCGCGAACGCGACGTGGAGAAGTAGGAGGGGATGCGAGAGGGTGGGGGAGAGAAGGAGCATCAGCGTTCTTTGCGTAAGCTTGTTACGCGGCTGTAGCTATAGCAGCGTCCAGGCCTCTCCACGAAGCACCCCTGCCTTTCTTCCTTCCTCTCGTGTGTTTCGGGAGACGACATCCCGCTGAGCGCATTTCGGGAAGCGGTTATTATTTTCGAGTTTCGACCACCCCTCTTCCATCTGCGTCTGATCTTTCTTCTTTCTCCCCTCCTTCTTTCCAGAAGGCCCTGCTTGTCTGAAGTGCCGCGCCCACATGACCTCTTTCCATGCCCGTTTCTTTCATAATTCAATGTTTTTCCTTCGATAATCCTTTTTTGTTTACATTCCCGCCCCTTCGCTCCTTCGGCCTCGTCAGAGGGCCAGGAAATGTCAAGAAACCAACAATCATGGCGCGAAAGGTCGCTCTACGCTTGTGTTTCTTTCCTTTTTTTTCTTATAAAAAGCGACGAACTTTTGCCTTTCTTATTCGGTTTGTTTTCTTTGGTTATCCGCTAGTCTGTAATGTCATTATGTTTTTCTGTGCTTTCTTTTTCTTCACTGTGCTCAGACTCTGCCACTTCATTCGTATGCAAGCTTGTCATGTCAGTTTTCTTTTAGTGCGCCATCTCTTACGCTTTCACGTGTATAGCTACCGGACCACCTCGCAGCGCCGCAACAGCACTGCCGATACTTCTTTTGGACTTGTTTCCACAAAGTTGAAGAGAAAACAAGCCAGCGTGGCCGCAATTTCTCCGGCCTACGCCAATCTACCGTAGTGGGGTTCATGCCGCCTACACAGGAAAAGAAAAAAGAGGGCTTTATAATGGGAAGGAACGATCATGGAGGTGGAAAGAAAACAATAATATGTTCTTTCTATCATGAAGGAACGCGGGTCCGCTTCCACTTGGAGGTTTCTTAGTTATTTTTATTTCCTCCTTCTCTGATAGGCAACTGGTGGTTCGTGTGACTCTCTCATGCCACTGAACCAAACAAAACAGAAAAAAAAACATGTGATGTTAATCTGCTTTCAACTTTTGGTAGGGTTGTTTTCTCAAGCAAGTATTGGGTTTCGAATAGTTTGTAGGTACATGCTTAGCTGCATAAAAAAGCGCAAAAAAGACGAGGACGCTCGAACACAGTAAACTGGTCGATCACTGACCAGTGCACGTCCGATGTACTGTTCCAGCATCCACATCTTTCTGTGTGGCATTATTGTTCCACTAGATAGGGATGTCAGGGAGACATTAAGTTTGCTTTGGTGTGCCTACTGCATTGTTAAATGTAAAGCATTTTTTCGCATACTGCAGGCACCTTGACCGTCAATCTACGTATCTATCGATCTCTCTATCTATCTAGCCAGCTACGTCTGGGTACTCTCGAGATCGCCTACCTAACTTGGGGTAAACCAAAACTAGTATGGGAAGGTAAGATCATTAGTCGGATGTGACTCGATGGTCATGACATGATTAATGTCATTGTACTGTCCCGTACATCGTCAAGAGAGAGAGAGGGAGTGAGAAAGGGAAGGCCGGGAGGTTAAGCAGATATTGGCATCTGGTTTGCTACCCAGCGCTGGGGGTGGGGAAGTAGGGGCGAGAAAGAGGGGTTAGATAGAGAAAAAAAACGTGCGCGCACTCATAAAAAAAACGAAAACACACACAGAAAGGGCGTCCTAGCTACAACCGTTCAGTAAAGCCGGTCAATCGCAAAAAGCGTAGTAGCGCTTTCAAGGCCCTCTTCTGTGAAGTCACATCCTGACGATACTGCAGAATTTCCTGCTCCGACAGAGGTTGATCATCTAATTTGTTGAGTTCCTTGCGAAGGCATAGTCGTTGTTTACTATACGCTAGGCACTCACAAAGAATATGTTGAATGGTTTCCTCTTTGCCACAATGGCCACAGGCTACGGTGTCGGCCATGCCAATGCGGAAAGCGTAGGCGTTGGTAAATGCAACGCCCAACCACAGCCTACATAACAGGGTCTGTTCTGCTCGGCGAAGCCTCGACGGTACTTCAAGACTTAGCGTAGGGTCAAGCGAGTACAGTCGGGCATGCTTGAAGTGTGGCTGTTTCCATTGCGATGTGGTTTGCTGGCGAGCAAGTCTGCGGAGCTTTCGTGCAACATCTGTCCTAGAAAGTGGTAGTCGCAGTTTATGATCTTCTGTGTGGGCTGAGCGGGCAGCTTGATCAGCCCGTTCATTGCCGATGATTCCGCAGTGACTGGGCAACCACTGAAATGTAATTTGGTGCCCTTTCTCAGTCAGGTGGTGTATAACCTCTGCTATCTCTAGTACCAGCTGCTTGTGTGGTCCACGGCGTAAGGCTGATAGTAGAGACTGCAGTGCCGCCTTCGAGTCGCAGAAAATAGTCCACTTGCGTGTAGGTTGATCAACTACAAATCGCAACGCGGCACGAAGCGCTGCCAATTCTGCTGCCGTTGATGTTGTTGCGTGAGATGTCTTGAATTTAATTGTCGTGGCCAACCTTGGTATCACTACTGCTCCTGTAGAGCTGTCCGGCTGAACTGATCCGTCAGTATAGATATGTGTGGAGTCTTGATATTTCTCATACAAGAGAAGTAGTGTGAGCTGTTTAAGAGCCGGTGACGACAAATTGGCCTTTTTCTCAACGCCAGTTATGTTAATATTAAGCATTGGTTGAGTGAGGCACCATTGCGGAATCACAGGTCTAGCGGCAGGAGAGAACGAAGTTGGGATCGGCTCACCATGTGCGGTCACTGTTTTCAGTAAGATGTGCATGGTGGGGCCACTGGTAGAGAGGCTAGGTGATGTCGAGGGGTTCGAGCAAGGTGTCGTATATGTGTCCTCAGCACTTCCACATTAATGATTCTTCGTCAAATTCTTTCAACCCACCAGGCATGTGGCACATACCCACGGATGGGTATGTGCCATGGGCACGCGGGGACGTGCCACAGGTCATTGACAGTTTATATTTGCCAAGAAACGGTGAGAATAGCCATGATTAACTTTGACGCGTGGGCATTAGGACAAAGTTCACATCGGCTGCGTTGTCCCGAAGATTGCAAATAATAAATATCCCATCGCCAGCAGGAATCTAAACCCAAGCATTCTGCGTGGTAATAAAGGGTTCTACGACTGAACCACGCCAGGTTTTATAACGCGATAGCAATAAAGAGCTCGTTTCACAGAAGTTCGGGCATCGGCGTTGGTTGTGAGCGAAACATCAACATATGCGTGTCCTCAACATCGAGAACGATGCAAGTGGAAAAAAATGGTAAACAAATCTCCGACCGAAGCTGGTACAGGTCATTTGTATCCGAGTGAGGATCGAACGCGGGTCGTTTGCGTGGCAAGTGGATGTTCTACCACATAGCCACGCTTCTGCTTGTGAACACAGTGAAAAGAACTTCCACTGCTTGTAAATGCAATGAAAGTAGCTTTCGAGCTTTACCAACACACGAGTCCTTCTGACAAAATAAAATTAATAGGGCCATCGATGAGTGATTTGCTGCGGATAACTGGCGTAGAGCAAGAGCGTTGGATGCACATGAAAACTTGTTACACGTACTATCAGCCCACAATGAAACACCAGCAGTGTTGCGCATAACACAGTACGTACCTATATGATTAAGAGAGGATACTCTGACGCAGCTTGCCGCTCGTTAGCCACAATTATGCTTTCGATCACGCAGTGC